ATAGTTGACATTGAAAACATAATCAATAGTTATATGTTAGGTGCGAACTCGACAGGCCTTTATTAAATCCGAGTTTTTTTTAGTGATTGGGACGATCCAAGACTGTTCACGTTGACCGCGCTTCGTCGCCGTGGCATCCCACCGGAGGCAATCAACGCGTTTGTAGCGAAATTGGGTTTGACAATGACCCAAATGGTCATCGACCCTCATGTTTTTGATGCTACCGTTCGTGATTATCTAAATGTTACTGCGCCTAGGTTTGCAAAATTTGCCTAATCTGTTACTATCTAGCAAGGTAAAAAAATCGACGTTTGTAGGACCATGGCTGTTCTTGAAGGATTGAAAATGACAATCGAGAACTTTGATGAAATGAATTTGCCCTCAAAAGTGACTGTGCCAGATTTCCCATCAGATCCTCAATGCAATAAAACGCATGAGGTTGCGTTTGACCGCACGGTATACATAGAAAGATCAGATTATAGGCAGGTAAGTTACAAGATTTCGTTCTTTTGTATATTTTTTAATGCAACGTATGGTAATGATGATGGCTGCTTCATCTTCGGATCTTCAGGTGGAGCTTATAGATTTGAAAGAGTCTAAAGGGACTTTTGGAGGGACTAACTACTTTAGGGTTTGAATCGCAGAATGCGAAACTATAGGAATATGTCTATCGGTTCTTTCATCGCATTCGTTGTTTGAAAAGGTCTCATCAGGTGGGAAGAACAATCGTATGAGCTATGATGGTGTATAATTTGTTGCAGAAAAAAGATTTTAACTTTTTTTGAGTCCTGCGTACATAATCTTCACTTTGGACTTTGTGCTAGAGGACTAGGTTTGTGTAAGTACGAGTAAACTTGAGCATAGATCAACAATCTGGACTTTGCAGCTACTAGATTGTTACTGCTGCATAAAAATGGAGACATGATAGTTTTAGGTTGGAATATGTAATCGCGAATGGAAAGATCATTAACATAGGCGTAAGGCTTTGAATCAAGCCAGTGCTGCATTGTAATATCTGTTTCAGATTAATCACACAAAACGTTTTCCGTTAATTGTGGTTTTTATTGCATACTTGTTCTTTGCGAATCTTCTTACTAACTCTTGATTAGAAGTAAATTGCCACTAAACATAATTCTGCTAGTAAATTTAATTTACCTGAATATACAATTTTCTCAAATCAATCCAATTTCCGTAGTTGTGCTTGATAAAATCAGATCAGTGTCTTACATCTTGACTACTCGAAGTTGAGCTCACTATTTGGGCAATTGCTTAGTATTTCTGCTGGAATACAAGGGACTCTGGAGTTACTTGTTTAGGGCGACTGAACAATCTCGTTCAAAACCGATTTTCTTCTCAATTAATATAGTTGTCTTTTCGTAAATATACAGATAGAATAGCAGGTATTTTCATGGTTCTTTTCGGTCGATGTTCGGGAGAAGTTCATAACGAATTTTTAGTAATCTGTCTCCGTAAAGCCAGAGGTTTATGAGATG